TAATTTATATATATATATAGGAACGCTTATTCACAAAAATATTAAAAAAAAAATATATTCTTTACTCGAACTAACAAGTTCCAGATTGTAATTATGAGTACCAAATCGTCATACTTAAATTAAATGGAGAAAATTTGCTTGACTTAAAAAAAGGGGGCGGAATCAAATTAGATAGCTCTATTGGTTGACACGAATATCTAAGTCGTGTTATACTGTTGAATAACAAGCCTTTAATTTATTCTATTTTTTTTTATTTCGTGTGCTTGGGAGTCCCTGATTATAAAATCAACCAAGAATTGATCATGACTGCAGTTTTAGAGAGACGCGAAACCCAAAGCTTATGGGGTCGTTTCTGTAATTGGATAACTAGCACTGAAAATCGTCTTTACATTGGATGGTTTGGTGTTTTGATGATCCCGACTTTATTGACCGCAACTTCTGTATTTATTATTGCCTTCATTGCTGCTCCACCAGTAGATATTGATGGTATTCGTGAACCTGTTTCTGGATCTCTGCTTTACGGAAACAATATTATTTCAGGTGCCATTATTCCAACTTCTGCAGCTATAGGATTACATTTTTACCCAATATGGGAAGCGGCATCCATTGATGAATGGTTATATAATGGGGGTCCTTATGAACTAATTGTTCTACACTTCTTACTTGGTGTAGCTTCTTATATGGGGCGTGAGTGGGAACTTAGTTTTCGTCTGGGTATGCGCCCTTGGATTGCGGTTGCATACTCCGCTCCGGTTGCAGCTGCTACCGCAGTTTTCTTAATCTATCCAATTGGTCAGGGAAGTTTTTCTGATGGTATGCCCCTAGGAATCTCTGGGACTTTCAATTTCATGATTGTATTTCAGGCTGAGCACAATATTCTTATGCACCCATTTCATATGTTAGGCGTAGCTGGTGTATTTGGCGGTTCCCTATTCAGTGCTATGCATGGTTCCTTGGTAACTTCTAGTTTGATCAGGGAAACCACAGAAAATGAATCGGCTAATGAAGGTTACCGATTCGGCCAAGAGGAAGAAACGTATAATATAGTAGCCGCTCATGGTTATTTTTGGACGATTAATTTTCCAATATGCTAGTTTCAATAATTCTCGTTCATTACACTTCTTTTTAGCTGCTTGGCCTGTAGTAGGTATTTGGTTCACTGCTTTAGGTATCAGCACTATGGCATTCAATCTAAATGGTTTCAATTTTAATCAATCCGTAGTTGATAGCCAGGGCCGGGTAATTAATACTTGGGCTGATATAATTAATCGTGCTAACCTTGGTATGGAAGTTATGCATGAACGTAATGCTCACAATTTCCCTCTAGACCTAGCTGCTATCCAAGTTATAGCTACAAATGGCTAGAGACTTCGTCTCTTAGTATATAGATAGAGAATCTATTTAAAATAGAATAAAGGAGCAATTCCGCCTTCTTGTCTAGAACAAGAAATCGGTTATTGCTCCTTTATTGATTCCTTTTTGAAAATAACATAGTTTAGGTCGGGGGCGGATGTAGCCAAGTGGATTAAGGCGGTGGATTGTGAATCCACTATGCGCGGGTTCAATTCCCGTCGTTCGCCCATCACTCGAATTATCGTTTCGATAAATTCTATAAATGGGTGAAATATATGAGTGAAAGTAAATAACATGCCGCTATGGTGAAATTGGTAGACACGCTGCTCTTAGGAAGCAGTGCTAGCGCATCTCGGTTCGAGTCCGAGTAGCGGCATAAAAAATAAGAGTAATCTTTTGTTCTTTTTCATTTTTTTCTTATCTAATTCGGAGTTAAAATCTTATTTTTTTTTTATTTTTATGATAGTTTCAACCTTAGAACATATACTAACTAATATTTCACTTTCAATAATACTCGTTTCTATTTTAATTAAAATTTATTTGAAAATCTTTTTTGTAGATGAAAACATAAAACTTCTAATTCATCAGAAAAGTGCATTTTCATAACTTTTTTATGTATAACAGGATTATTAGCTACTCATTGGATTTCGTCGGGCCATTTCCCACTAAGTGATTTATCGGAATCTTTGCTTTTTCTTTCCTGGAGTTTTGCTCTTATTAATAGCCTTTCCTATTTAAAAAAAAAATACAAAATTATTAAGTACAATAATAAGCCCAATCAATTTTTGTATCCAGGCTTTTGCTACTTCGGGTCTTTTCACAGAAATTAAAAAATCTTCAATATTAGTCCCCGCTCTTCAATCTGAGTGGTTAATAATGCACGTAAGTATGATGATAGTGGGTTACGCAGCTCTTATATGTGGCTCCTTATTATCAGTAGCACTTATGGTCATTACCTTTAGAAAAAATGAAAATATTTTTAAAATGAATTATATTTTTTCGGCTAAAAATTTTTATAAGATTCAATTAAGTAAAGAATTGGATTATTGGAGTTATCGAGTTATTAGTTTAGGGTTTATCTTTTTAACCATAGGAATACTTTCGGGGGCTTTGTGGGCGAACCAAGCGTGGGGATCTTATTGGAGTTGGGATCCTAAAGAGACTTGGGCTTTTATTACTTGGATAGTGTTTTCAATTTATCTACATACTCGAAGAAATAGAACTTTCGAAGGTGCTACTTCGGCAATTGTGGCATCTATAGGTTTTCTTCTTATTTGGATATGTTATTTTGGAGTCAATTTAATTGGATTAGGTCTACATACTTATGGTTCATTTTCGCGAACATAAAAAAAGACATTAATTTTTTACTTCGTGAAAAGCTAAAAATTTGTGAAACCCGTGCTCTCAAATAAAAAATATTTCCTATTTGAGAGCACGGGTGTTCAATAAAAATAGAATGAATTCAAATATACTTTTCTGGACCAGATCAATAAGCGAGACCCATACTGCGAGTTGTTTCATGCCATAAATAAACTCGAACACTCAAGAAATCTGTTGGGCAGGCGGATTCACATCTTTTACAGCCTACACAGTCTTCTGTTCTCGGAGCAGAAGCAATTTGTTTAGCCTTACATCCGTCCCATGGTATCATTTCTAAAACATCGGTGGGGCAGGCTCGGACACATTGAGTACATCCTATACATGTATCATAAATCTTTACAGAATGTGCCATTGGACGAATAAATTTATAAACTTTATGAATTATCGATATAGTATCCTCCAAATATTATTTTTATCCAATATAAAATTATAAGATACTTGGTTTTTAGATACTATATGACTCAATGAATTCTCAGAAGGATTCTAATCAATAGATTTCTGGATTGGTTTTGAAAATAAAAAAAAATTATTTTATGTTTTAATATTATCATTTTTTTATAACTACGCAAACTACCTACAAACTACCTAATAGGGTAAATAAGGATTCTTTTTTTAATTAACTCAATCTATTGTTTTAAAGTTTTAAATAAATACTCCCTTCAAATTTATACAGTAAGAATCAATAGACAAAAGGACATGATGTCTTTCTATTCACTACCCCAAGCTATTCTTTTTTAATTGTTTCAGTAACCATATTGTTGTTCTAAATTTACCTCTATAATAGGTTTGAAAAGCTATGCAACTTCAAAATGAATGAGTTTTTGTCTCTCTAATCTCCAATTTATCAATTAATTCTTTATAGCGGAATTTATTTTTTTTTGATAAATAAGCTAAAAGTCGTTGTCGTTTCCCCCAAAATTTTACGTAAACCTTTTTGAGATAAATAGTCTTTTTTGTGCAATTTCAAGTGGGAAGTAAGCCGGTGTATTCTATTGGTGAAATTCCATACTTGAAATTCAACGGAACCTCTGTTTTGTAAGTTTTTTATCATAAACTAAATGAACTCCCTTCATTGATATATAATATGCATTTAAAATAATTTTTTATAATTAAGTTCTAGATTCATTTCATAGATATGAAATAATTGATTAGTAACTAAAACGAACGAACAAAAAATAAAGAAAAAAAGGATAATATTATTTACTTTTATTCTATATTATAGAATAAATCAACTTGACAGAAATGAGTCCAATGTTTTCTTATTTTTTTTGTAAAAAAAAACTTTGAAACTTACCCGTTAAAAGAGATTTTGCTAATGAAAGAGCTTTTAATCTTACCTCAATAGTCTTTCTTTTCCAAATGTTCTTACGAATACGCTTTTTGGCTTTCGAAATACGTTTTTTTGGAACTGCCATTTCAAATGATTTACAGGTTATCACTGGATGTGAAAGACATTTATTGCTAAAAAGGAATTCTTCTAACTAAGTCTATCAATTCAAATCAAAAGAAAACCCTTTCTTTTAGGGTTCATTAATAAAATCAAAGTGAATTTTTTCAACTTAATATTCTTTTAATGAGGTACAATATATCTATATAGATCTAGATAGATATATGGTATCCTCAATTCAGTTAGATCCAAATTAAAATGAGGTATAAAATAGGGTATGTGTCCATATTGGTTTTCATCTAACCTGCTACCATCTACCCTGCTACAGGGTAGATAGTACTACTATCAATTAAATTTCCACCAATTTAAATTCAATGGTAAATACATATGGATCCTTAACATACTGAAACGACTCCCATTATTAGTATAAAACCAATAACGATTCATACAAGCTAAATCTTCCAATCGATAATTAGGCCAAAGAAAAAATTCAATTAATTTATTTTGATCCTTAGGCCCAGGGTTGCTTTCTTCCCAAACTTTATTTTTGTTGGAAACTAGAGAATTTGCATCCACGCCATTCCATTTGTGTGAATTGAAACAAATTAGAGTTCTTAATTCTCTACGACGCCTAGATGATAAAATATTTTCAATAAGAAGCGGATCACAATTATTGTTCTCTCGAGCGCGAATTATTCTTTGTTTTACGTCTTCTTTATTAAGAATTTGTTTACTCTTATGAACCAACGAAATAACTATCGTTTCATACATAAGAAATTCTCCATTTGGTTTGATAGACAGCGGAAGGGGGTCGACCAAAAATCCCCGTCTTTTTTAAAAATTCTGGAACACTCTCTTTTGAATCTGGAACACTCTCTTTTGAATCTGGAACATTTCTTTTTGAATCTGGAACACTCTCTTTCTGATCCATCTGTGGCATTAGACCCAAATTTAACTTTTCCCTTAGAATCCATGATAGCATCATTTTTTTTCGATTTATCATTCTAAGCAAGAGACAATAGATTTGGAGATCTTGGAAAAGGCCTTGATTTAAAGTAAAATCCTCTCTAAATTGAAAAAATAAATAGTTTTTCATGAATAACTCTAGTTCTATCTCAGTTTGACTTTTCTTTTCACCTTCAGTTTCACCTTCAGTTTCGCCTTTGGTTTCACCTTCAGGTTTACCTTTGGTTTCACCTTCAGGTTTACCTTTGGTTTCACCTTCAGGTTTACCTTTGGTTTCACCCTGAGTTTCACCTTTGGTTTGACCCTCAGGTTCACTTTTGGTTTGACCCTCGGCTTTATCTTTTTTTTTACTCTCAGTTTTATCTTTTTTATCTTTCTGAGTTTTACCGGTCTTTTGACTTGTCATTTCATTAAGATTCAAATTTGAAATAAGTGATTCGCTTGGTATAATCCATGGTTTCAGTTTATATAAATTAACAAACCACACAAATTCTGGGAAAACCAAAAGTTCCTCAGCCGTTAATGGACGGTCGAGTATTTCTTCATTCAGTCCCATCCAATCCAATAAAGAATTTCTAGAATGGAGTCGATTCATTTCGGTATTTTTCTGAATCAAAAGAGCAAAAGGATCTTTTTCGTTTTTAAAAATTTGCTCAATTTTCAAAATTTCTTCCATTTTATCAATTAATTGATAATTGTAAGTGAAAATTGGAGTATTTTGAGTATTGTTATAATTACCCGTGATCCAGGACTCAATATTCGCTTTTTTTTTTAAGAGAAAAATCAATATTTTTCCAATTCAAATATTTTCTATCGACATCTTTTTTTGGATATGGAATATTTAACCTTTCTATTTTTCCTCTGAAACTAGTGATAGGAATATTTTTCGTTATCGCAAACAAGTTGTTTTGTGACATCTTGTAATGATAAGAAATTGCTTCCCGTTTAGCTCCTGGAGGGGTTCCACTATTTTTTTCATACTGAATGTATTGATATGCTAAAAGATCATATCGATAGCATTTTTTTAAATTATCTTTTGTTTTTTTATTCAAGACTGAGTTAGCATCCTTTTGTTTCCTGTAAGTATTTAATTTTAATTTTTTACCGGAAGTCCTTTTGTCTAAATATTTTTGTTTAGACCTACGATAGCGATTCGCCCTATTTCTCCATTTTTGTTTTTGTGATCTTAAGGCAGACCAGAAATTAGGAGATAAATCGTAGTGAGAATTCCCTTTTAAACCAAAATTTCCATTGACTCGTTCTAGGCCGCTTAAGTTGTTTTTTTATTCCTTCAGATGGAAGTATTCCTTGTGTATGAAATGAGTCTTTTATTTTCTTTTTAATCAAGAAAGATGTTCCATTTTGTTGAAGAACAGATATGAAATTACGTACGTTCAAAAAACCCCTTTCTGATATTTTGTACAATACATATGCTTGTGACAAGTTGGATAAATCACCAAAACTCTCTGAATTTTCCTTATAAAGCTTATTATTATGCGTTTTTATATTTGAATTTGAAAGAGAGTTCATTTTTGTTGATTCCACAAAGACTTTTTGAGTCATTTGGCAAATAGATATAGTATATAAAAAAATACAATTAGATATTCTTTGAATAAATAATTTTATAAAATAATTAAATTTATATATTAATCTATTTTTTTTTTTTTTCAACATTTGACAAAAATTTTTTGACAAGGCTAATCTCGAACTTTTTTTGTAAGGGTTCATATCAAGTTCTAGAGTGACCCTTTTCTTATCTTCCGTAATTCTTTCTAGTTTTTTTTTAATTGTACTTGTCCTATGAGTGATAGCCTGCATTTTGTCTATCGGTGAATAATTTTTCCAATCTGTAATTTTTTCAATTTTACTCAAGGGTTGATTCATTATCTGGTTATTTATTAGATCATCTTTTTCATTTTTTATTACACTCGGGTGTATTGTTCTTGTTTCTTTTGAACTTGTGTTTTTTTTTGAAAACTTTTTTAAAAATTTAATTTTTACTTTTACAAATTTGTAAAGTTCCTTAAAAACAGGCTTAAAAAACGAAGGTTTTTGTCGTGGATGACCAAAAGGGTGTTCTGTTTCCCTTCCCCAAACTGTTAAAAAACAAAAGTCATCACGAGAATTTAGCGATTTATATTCGTGCCAAGGTTTGAGACAGAAAGGAAATAAAATTTTGATTTGAATACCTTCTGTCAACCAATTTTCCGGAAATTTTTTGTCAGCTAACGGAATACCATTATAAGTACACTTCACATGCGTTTCTCTATTCCATCCCTTTAAATCTTCAGACCATTCAGGAGTTTGAAATAGTAGCATACGCCCGATATTTTTACCGATTATGAATGAAGGTAATAGAATCTTTTTTCTGAGAATTGATTGGGTTATTAATAAAAAACCTCTTATTATTTGGGTATATGGAAAAGTCTCCCAGGCTTCCCCTATCTCTAACCGTTCTATTTCCTCTCGTCGTTTTTTTTCCTTTTTGGTTTCTCTTTTTATTATTATTTTTTTTTCCTCTGTAGATTCTAAAATCCCAAACTCTTTTATGGATGACCATTTTCTAAAAAGCCGTTTCAGTTGAGCCAGGTATGGTAGAGAAAAAAAGGTTTTTTTCCTCATCCTGTCAAAAAAAAGAGGGGAATGCGCATTTGCTTTAAAAAGTCCCTCAATAACTATTTTACGTCTTTGAGTTCGCATAGAGTCTTTTATTAAGCCTTGGCGAAAATCAGATTGGTGCGGATATCGTAATAAAAAAAGCTTATTATCCTCATCTTCCTTTTTCTTTTTAATATTTTTATCTTTCTCATTATCGTCGGATTTTATAGCTTGAATATTTGTATCTTTTGTATTCTTATCTTTGTTTGTAGTCTTATCTTTGAGAGTCTTAGGTTCTTCAAAAATTAATACACTGATCCCTTTTCTTGAACGAATATCATGATCATCTGGTGGATTTGTAAAATACGATATTTGTTCCAATTCAGTTATTAATTTGTATGACCATCGGGGGACTTTTTTACCAATTTCTTCTTTACCTATTTTTTCTATTGCAGAAGATTTTTTATCGTCTGTCTCAATTGCATTTACTAAAAATTTTGTTAGTTGTTCTGAATCCGTTAAATTGAAACTTGATGATAAAGTTGAGAACTCACCAACTTGTAATGGTTTTTTTTTCCTTTTTTTCAAAAGTAGACATCAACAATAAAGCATGAAGTCTATTTAGCATAACCTTCTCTCTCAACTTTTTGATCGAAGTATCGTTTATCGACGTGATATCTTTTTTTATTCTTCCGCGGGAAGGCCCATTTAACAAGGGATCATACTTTTCTGGTAAGTATTCTTTTCTAGTCTCATCATTGTGTATACATAATCGCGTTTTGTTTGTTTCAATTTCGATTATTGGAACTGCTACTGGTTTGTCAAGATTTTTAATTCGATTTAGCAAATCAATTTTTATAGAATTTAATTTTTGTTTGTTTCTAGAAACCCAAAAATTGTCCAATGTATTAGAAATATCTTTTTCTAGTGACAAAAGGGGTATCTTTGTTTTGATTATTTGAAAAAACGTTGATAAACTTATCGGATGGGTAAAAGATATTCTATCTTTTCCATCACTTTTATGTATGTCAAAGAAATATTGTGCCATTTCGTTTCTTACAGCTTGTTCAAGTCTATTATTTTTTATGTAACGAAATGGGCGAGTCCATCTTTTATAATCAAAAAGAAGAGCCACAATATGTTCTTTATTTTCATTTTTTTCAAGGATTTCCAATTCGGAATCAGACCCTTCCAAGTCTGGTTCATTTACCTTCAAGTCCAATTCTTTTTCCAAAATACCTTTTTCTTCGGAAAAAAGGGAAGGATCTTTTTCAGCGGATTTCTTTTTTTTTTCTACGTCTTTTTCTTCCTCCCTTTGCAACCTTTCCTTTTCCCTTTGTTCTATTTTTGAGACCTCACTAAATTTCTGAGTAGGAATAGGTAAGGGTGTTCTGCCTAAAGACTGAATACTTAGAATACATACTAGAGTTCCAAAACTATAATTTACTAAAATAAAAAATATAGAATTTCTCACTAGGTACTTTCGAATGATCGACCTAATAACATTATTTTTCTGTATCCAGACTGCTAAAAATTCCAAGCAATTTATGACTAAAATTTGTCCCATTCCCCAAGCAAACAAACTGCTTGTTACAAACAACATCTTATTATTACAGCGAAACAGATAAATGCTTACTAATCGGGCTAACGTTGAACTTGGTAAAATGCAAGTGTTAAGCAACTGAAAAATAAGATGATTGAGGAATACAAAGATATTCTCTAGCTCACGGATCGAATTTTGGTTATTAGATCCATAAGCAAAAATTTTTTTTTCAGTGTTCAAGAAAAGCTGAATCAAAAGATAAGGTAAAGCAAGGACAGTTATTGTATGAGGTCTACCCAAAGCTAGATAAAAGGGCGCATAATAGATGGATACGAATCTCATGAGCTGTCCCATAATAAAACCAGTGGTTGCTGCTACCTTATTATTTGTATTTGTTTCTTTTTCCAGAACCAGAGTTCGCACAAAGAATAAATAAGAGGACCTTATTGAAAATGTGGTAAGAAATCCATAATAAAGTCCGACTACAACGACTGAATTGAGTACCTTCAAGAATAAATCAGAACCTATAAACATAAAAAGCTCCTTAATTAAAATAAAAATTTTTTTGATATTATCAAACAATAAACTAGTAGATTTGTCTTCACATCTTATACTATGATTTTTTTACTATTCTACTATATGGAATTCAAAATAGGTTTTATATGAAATGAAGTTTATTGGACTTTTCTTATTTATAGAATTTATCGAAACGAAACAGCAATTCGGGTTATGGGTGAACGACGGGAATTAACCCCGTCTATAGTGGTCTTGCATTGAGAACAGGAATTTAACTCGATTCATTTGAATCTCCTTTTCTTCCTCAATAGCTCAGTGGTAGAGCGGTCGGCTGTTAACCGACTGGTCGTAGGTTCGAATCCTACTTGGGGAGTGATTCTAAATAACAGAAGTTCGAATCAGGATAAGATGGCTCGCGTTTAGCATAAAGAGTAACCTTACCCACCCGCATCAAATTGGGTTCATTATCCCAATCATTATTGTCCTACCCACAGAGGAAAAAGTATTTAACTTTTGGACCAGTTGTGGGCGAGGAGGGATTCGAACCCACGACCCCGTGGTTCGTAGCCACGTGCTCTAATCCTCTGAGCTACAGGCCCACCCCGCCTCCGCAAAAAAGGAACATCCCTCCCATTTCAGATGTGAAAGCGCGTTTCTTTAAAGTTCTTTATATAAGAAGAGCGCATCCAATGTTTAAGTGGGAGAAAAAATGTCCTGATTGGGATTTTGAATAAGACGACTTTCTCTTTCTATTTAAAAATAAAAAAGGAAAAAGAATCAGAGGTCTTAAGCTTTTTCCCAATACTATACTGGCGTCGAGCTATTTTTCCGCAGGGCCTCCCCTACAGTATCGTCACCGCAGTAGAGTTTCACCACCAAGTTCGAGATGGATTGGTGTGGTTCCTCTACGCCTAGGACACCAGAATAGAGAATAATGAAGGAACAAAAGGATGAGATAAAAAAATAAGAGCTAGTGGTTATGAGGACCCAATTATTTACTAGAGGGAACACCAAAGGCCTCTGCCATTCCATCTCTTAGTAGAGTAGGAAGGGAAGAGGTTTTGGTCTTGTTGTTGTAAAAGAATTGAACAATGAAAATTGATGACTAGTGCCTGATCAATTTGATCAGGTCATGAAGGAACAAGGTTCAAGTCTATCGGTCTGTTAGGATGCCTCAGCTGCATACATCACTGCACTTCCACTTGACACCTATCGTAATGATAAACGGCTCGTCTCGCCGTGACCTTCTTTTTAATTTCATTATAAACAAATAAAAAAAAACTTCTGTCGCTCCATCCCCGTAGGGGCAGAGAACCCGTCGCTATTTCGCCTGTGCTACCGTAGCTCTGGGGAAGGAGAGCACTCATCTTGGGGTGGGCTTACTACTTATATGCTTTCAGCAGTTATCCGCTCCGCACTTGGCTACCCAGCGTTTACCGTAGGCACGATAACTGGTACACCAGAGGTGCGTCCTTCCCGGTCCTCTCGTACTAGGGAAAGGTCCTCTCAATGCTCTAACGCCCACACCGGATATGGACCGAACTGTCTCACGACGTTCTGAACCCAGCTCACGTACCGCTTTAATGGGCGAACAGCCCAACCCTTGGAACATACTACAGCCCCAGGTGGCGAAGAGCCGACATCGAGGTGCCAAACCTTCCCGTCGATGTGAGCTCTTGGGGAAGATCAGCCTGTTATCCCTAGAGTAACTTTTATCCGTTGAGCGACGGCCCTTCCACTCGGTACCGTCGGATCACTAAGGCCGACTTTCGTCCCTGCTCGACGGGTGGGTCTTGCAGTCAAGCTTCCTTCTGCCTTTGCACTCGAGAGCCAATCTCCGTCTGGCCCGAGGAAACCTTTGCGCGCCTCCGTTACCTTTTGGGAGGCCTACGCCCCATAGAAACTGT